GGGGGGGTTGGGGGGGGGGGGGATCATGCCCAAACAATTAATATTCTGAAATAACCTTCAAGAATGCTCCCCAACCAGAAACATCTGATCTTCCCAGCATTACCTACAAATAAATACTTACAAGCGTTAATTTTTACCAAGATCATCATCACTCATTCATTTGCTACTGGACCCAGCATAACCAATACTACAAGAACTTTTGATTGAAAAAGCATCCAATACAACAAGGGAATGTACAACACTGATGACAAACTAAGTCATATTCCCAATAAATTGTAGTCAAGAAGAGGATTACCCTCTGCTGTTGTTTTAGAAGAAGCTTCATATTCCTGCATTCATAATTATCACCTCTTTGAGAAGGAACCCCGAGGGTGCCATCACCGCAACTGTAAAGTCAAATAAAAAAGTATCAGTACTGCAATCTAATACAAAACTGTTGGAACTGAAAAAAAATCCAATTATTCTTCAATAACAAAATAAAGTAAATAATTCTAGGCATTCTCTACACCATTCAGATTTCAAAAGGATCTCATCTCATGATTATCCATGGCAGTTTATATCCTTGAATCTCAAATTCTACTAGATTAGAATATAAAGTAAATAAAAAGATCAGTGAAATAAATTTACATTTTTACACATATGTAACCATTGATTGCTTGTGAACAAAAAAGTAAAAAAAAAAAAAAAAGAAAAGGAGGGGGGGAAGGGGTTCCTATCTTCCAATAGTGTGTTAGGAGTCGAAAAATATAGTAGGATTCAGCTACTAAGCAATTAAAACTACATACCAAAACAAGTTTTAGAACTTCCAATATTAGTGCAAGAAACATAATGTGAAGTTAATAGAGATGGTGGGGTTTCTCTGTTAACCATCTCAGATCAACTTAAGTATCCTGTTGTCACAGGATTCATCATTTAGCATCATGAGTCTTCCTATGACTGTGTCACCTGTTATCCCCTCCCCTCTTCTAACCCCAAATCTCCTATCCTGGTTAGACAAAAACCAGCAGCCAGCAATAAATTAAATGGTAGCAATGTCATTATTTATTAATTTTATAAGTGACAATGTTATTAANGTTTCAATCACTTCTACAGAGGGATAGGAAAGTTCTCCCACTTTATTGCACGTGTTTGGCAAGGCTTAAATTTTTTTTAAGTTCGTCAAACATACTTTTTATCCACACATTTCGTAGGACCCAAACCCACTTAATATCCACACATTTTGTAGAAGCCCACAGCTTATAAGCACTTCAAAGCATCACCAATCAAGCACTTAAAAGGGTTTTTAATTCACAAGATGGTACAATAAGTCGTTGAGTTTTGGTGATTGTGAAATGTAAAGAAAACCATAACATTTGGTAACATCCTACCTGATCCAGCAATTTCGACAAACATCTGGATCACACTCTCTATCAGCAGCGAAACAGGGGCACTGACGACTTCGACACTGACTTTTGGCACAGTGACAGCCTCTAAATCTATTTTTGCAACTCTTTGGACACCTGAAAGGAAAAACAGTGCAGCAATTAGCATGCATAGGCAAAAGCATAAAGCTCAAAAACCATGGACAAGTAAGCTACAACAGCATATGAAAATAAGAAGAAAGAAGCAAACTTAAGATGCACAAAATAAATGGGGAAGTTGACATGGGACTCCAAACAGCAAAATTCTTGTATAAAAGTTAAAGAATACTATATTTAAGGCACTTACCCACAGTACTTCTCACAGCAGGTACCATTAACAAGACATGGACACTCTTTTCCACAGGCAGATTGACATCCACAAGGGTTGTACTGCCGACAAGGCTGGTCTTTCCTCTCAGAAATGCGCTTCCTGATAGAATGGTATCCTGCAGATTTCCACGTGTACTTCAAGCGACGAACCCTACCTTTCCTACGTAAAAATCTAGATCTTCTACGTGCAGCATTGCCCTTGTCCACCCAAAAGAAAATGAGCATACCATATTAAAACTGATACGCAAGGACAAGTATGTGATGTGACATACAAAAGTGACAAAAAACTTACCAAGATTTCACTACCATCAGCTTTCAAATAGCCATCAGTAAAGGTCACTCCATCACAAGGTCGAAAGAATTGCTTATTCTCAGAGTGATGCATATACTTAAAAACCTCTGAACATGTCTTCAGACCATTCATCAGATTTCTAGCAATCATACAGCTGCAATGCAAATAAGGGTTCTCTCATTACAACATTGACAGCAGAGAGGCAAGAAATGGTAACATGTAGAATTGAGTACTAAACGACATGGACACTTAGACACGTGTCAAAAAAAGAAACATGGGCTTAAATTATTTGAAATTGGTACACTTATATAGATTATATCTTTGTTTATATGCTTTTTACTTTTAAAAGATTAATGCTTTTTTTTAGTTTTGAATTTAATTGGCGGAATATTTAATTTGGATGAGTAGCAATTTGTTATATTAAAATAACATAGAAAGAAAATGCTTATAGTAGATGTAAAACGTGCTATGGAGTGTCCGAGGAGTATTGGTGTCCAGCTAGAAAGCATCGACACGAACACGAGTGTAGGACACGCCACAACACGAACACGCAAACGTGTAATTTTTCAAAAAGCACCGAATGACATATCCCTGACAATCTGATAATATTAGTTTTTTATATAAAGTGAAATTGTTTTAGTTAATTCCGGTATGTTGACAATGTATCCCCTGACGTGTCCAACCATACAAAACCAAAATATAATTTGGACACACCATCGATTGAATCCATCACGTGTCGACGACGTGTTGGGGTCGTGTCGAACACCGGCTCATCAGTGCTGAGTGCTGAGAGGGTGTCATTGCATCCTAGGAGTACAACAAAACACATGTCTCAATGGACACATTTCTTTTGTAGGAGAATGTCTATGATTCATAGATTAAGAGTAGATGCAAGCGGGGCAAACCTTCTAAAGTCAAACAAAGCTACGACATGGAGTGTACAAGTAAAGTCAAACAGTAATGCTACCAATTTGAAGGCAAGAAACAAGAGATGAAGTGAAAAGCACGAGGATTTCAACTTTATCTTAAACAGCACAGAAACCCATTATGACTTACTAATTAAAAGAGTATCAGTCTTTTTTATTGCTTAAACAAATCCTCAACCACAAAAATGCTGTCTGATAGTCATTGGATTAGTTAACTCAGGAGATACAACATACCTTTACACTCAGATGACATAACAGTTAAGAACATGGGAACTAGATATCTAAAACAAGCAAAGGATACATATGAATAACTAACCTGTTCCGGCCAAAAATCAGAAGCCCCTTCTCATATAGTGCCTTTTCAAATGCTTTCCAACATTTATCATCAGTTACTTCTTGTTTATACGTACTCTCGCCAATAAATTCTTCTTTCTTTAAGGTATCGTCACTACTAGTCACAGGTCGTTTACTCTCAATCTCATTTGATGCCCCACTAGGAGCATCCCCCTGCAAAGATTTGTTACTGTCCGGAGCTAAAGGCTCTTTCCTACTAGACTTCCTAGAACTCGAAGATTTTAATTTCTGTGAACTAGTGCCATTACTTTCTCGTCGAGGAGCTTGAAGATTCATATCTTTAGAACCGAGACTCCCACTTGCAACAGATTCAGAGTCTGAAGCAGCAATTTTCTTCTGTTTTTTCCTTATGGCAACTAAAACATGCTCGGCTATTCTCTTACTATTCCTTTTGTTTCCCCCACATTTTCCTATAGATTTACACTTAGGTATAGAAGGAACATCGTTAATGAGTTTGATTTCTGAGTCACTGCTTTCAGATATGTCTTTTGCATTTGAAGAAGCACTTTCACTCGGGCAAGACTTTGACTTCTTGTGTACAGATGGACCTCCCTGCTTCCTCTTTTGTATATGCACGGCAGCAGCATTATCGGATGCAGTGACAGCTTTTTCTTCATGAATAGCCTGCCCATGAGAGCACATTGTACCATTACTTTCTTACTTAAGGACCTGATGCAGTGTGAATGTAGTAAAATGTGCTGGCAAGAATAATAGCATGGATTAAGGGGGAAACTCTCTGTTGATGTGTAAATTTCATTGAAGTGCACTATGCAGTGGCCTAAACACGTCGTAAGAACACTGAAAAGGTGCGGGCAAGACATTTTACAATAAAGGTATGGTGAAATGAAATTATGTTATATTAGTATATTCTGATAACTGGTGAAGAAACAAGTACCTGACGGTAGCAATTTGGGCCACATGGTTTTTTTTCCACCTCCGGACAGGACCATGGTAGTTGTTTCTCAGCCTAATTGAAAAATTAACATTGTAATTAGCTAATGATCATTCTAAAAAACATTTGACACTTGTGACATAATTAACTTACAGGAAATATAAGATCCTGGGAACAACCATGCAGTCTGCAATCAAAAACCTGCGATGAAAACCATGAGAAATCATGTAGGATGCACAAAATTCAAGTGCTTTTCACTTCCAGTCCTAGAACAATCGAAGTCAATATTTCATGCTTACAAGACAGCGCCGACAAAACAGATTGTCAAATGAATCCAGAGCTGCATCTAGATCTTTATCAATATAAGGATTCACAAAGCCGTCAATATTTCCATTGTTCACGTCGCATGTGGCATTCTCGCTCTTAAAAAGATCTTCATATCTTGCCTGTATAAGATGTTTGATGGTAGTTTAATCTGTAAATCCAGCAAAAAGCAAATGGGAAACAGCTGGACCAAAGTTCTTGCTATGACCAGTTTTTCTTTTCAGATAATAAATTCAAGGTAAACAAAGCAAAAAGATTAACCAACATGACCAGTTCACTGGTCACCTGTGGTTGCAGTTCTACCTTGATTTCAGAAGATTTTCTACATAAGCACTGCGCCAACAAATCCAATGCGGAATCAGATAACCCCACCTCTTTAATAGTCATTCTGGCAAATATAAACAAGCAGTGAGAACAAAAACAATTAGATTACCCAATATTATTGTATTTTCCATTGATCAAAATCCAAACAAGACATTATATGTGAAATCTTAATCGAAACTAAGAGGGAAAAATGGTAAACAGAAGAATATAATGGCCAATATGCGCAGTTCCAGGTCCTCTGTTCTCTGTACTATGTAGCTCCCAAATTTAGTACTCAAAGAACCACATTGAACAAATCCTTCAATCTTATACCTCATCCAGCAAGCTATTAAGAGGGATTGCCATATCATCCCTTCACAATGAAACTCGCAATACTCTTTTTTGAAAAGGTAAGGGAGAAATTTCTTTATCTAAATTGCATTTAGAAAAAAGAAGCTCTCCGTTTCTGGCAGTGATTGGAAAATCCTTAAATCAGTTATGATGCACAGGAGGAAAGTCAGGATAAATTGCATACGAGAGTTCAAAGGGGTGAAAGGGAAGAGAGAGAACTAGGGAATACATGGGATATAAACTTTGGCTATCAGCAGGGAAAATAATAGATATGGCCCTCAGTTATATTGGATCTTCCAGAAGACATAATAATGAACCAAAAGAGAATAGTAAAAGAGGAACGAGAAAAATTCTTTCACTTAAGGAGCCAGTAACCTGAGGATTAATTAGAACACTGATAATCATGAAAAATGAGAATTCAAACAATACTTTGAAAAAATCTGTAGCTTCATGCACAGATTGAAAAAAGGAAGAAAAGCGACAAGATGAGTTATATGCCCTGCATCAGATATACCAACCGCAGAATATAATCTTCAAAATCAGCAAACTCTTTCTTCTCTTCTTCATCGTCATTGGCTTCTTCTTCACTATCACTACAGATTAGAGCCTCGCCACCATTTTGGTCATAATAAATTCTCCTTCTGCCGACTACTGACTGGTCCTCTGTCATTCTTTGATTTCTGCGCCAAGGATATAATTGAATCACAGACCCTTATACCAACAAAACAGTACCATGACAATAAAATGTAAACTTCAATCAGCGAAGCCACAAATACACATGGCCAAAGAGAATCAGCGACACCAATGACCTTCAACTAGTGAAGCCAAGAAATTTTTAGTGAAATACAACTTTGTTTTCCGAAGTAATAATTTTAATATTCAAAAACAAATGGGGCAGGTGGACTATGCCGTCCAAAAACATTCTGTAAAACTTTATTTAGCCCCTGTTATATTCTAAAACTCATTTTTCCTCAAACCCTCATCAGCTATCTGTCAAGCTTAAGCACATAGGGAATTCTTCATTTCAAAACAAATTCCAAGTACTTTATCCAATTGTGTTGGATATAAGAGATCCCCAAGAAGAGATGTGATTCTATCCAGGATTCCAATTATAAGAAACATTTAGGGAGGATGAATAGGATATTCTTTTGAACTATAACCAGGATTTAATTTTACAACTACAAGCCAAAACTACGTTAGGGGTCAGATATGGCAGAACCTATTAAGTAACATAAGGTAGAAGTAAAATGTAAATGAATCCCATAGTCAACTAATTCTAGCAGTAAAATGCAGGGCCACTTACTCCATGAATTTAAGGCAAACACCACAAATAGCAACACTTGAGAGAGAGTTTTGGAGAATGCACTAGAAATTGAAAGTGTTTTTTTTTTTTTTTTTTTTTTTCTGAACTCATTATATATATTGGGCTTCCTTCTGGGAATGCTACTGTAGCATTACTGAATTAAGATAGGCACTTTTTAGACTCATAACTGTAGATAGTACTCCATTCCAAAATGGCTGTCGTATTTGACTTTTGAAGATCAAAAAGACATAATTTTAAACAATATTTTGCTTCCATTTCTAAAGCTTTCTGAAAGTTAACAATAAAATACCAAGTATCATAATATTTCATTTGATTCGACTTTTTATTCTCAAATTTTTTTTTTTGTCTCCTACATTTTTTGTTTGACCTCAAAATGTCAATTGACGCAGACGCTATGTGGTTGTTGCTCTGTAGCAATACGGATTCAACACGCTCCTACCCACCTTGGGGCACCATAGCATGTTGGAAATAAGGGGGGCATACTGGACGTAAGAGCTCCAGCAACCTCTTGTATTACCTTGACTCTGACGCATCTCTTTGAACTTCACATGTCTTAGGTAAAGGTTCCTTTTCTTGCATATCTAATGTACATAATCCTAAATGCTTACAAATATATTTAATGATGATCATTCATATAAACAACTTCCCTAACCACAGCTATAACATAATACTGTCCACTAATTGTTTTTGACCTCCAAGGTCAAACAACATAGTTATCATGGTTGGAAGTAGAATATGAGATTTTATAGAAATATAGTTTGGTGTCAAAGTACAACATGAAACTATAGGAAAGTCTTCAAATGAAAACTAATACTGCCTTCCTTAAAAAATGATGTTCGATGTTTGGAATTCCATTTGTCATGCATGGCATTTTTTCAACACTTTCAAGCTTTAATCAGCACACCAATTTATGCCTCTTTAAGATTGTCAGTTGGTGAAGGATGTCTTCGGAGGTCGTGGCTCTTCGAAATAGAATCTAATTTTTAGGGCATCCCATGGAGAGAACTAGAACATCAATAATGGAGTACGAAGCATAAAAAGTAAACAAATACATTGCTGTGTACTACAGATAAAACGTAGATGTAAGTAAACACAGATCATCAAGAAAAGAATATAAAGGAAAACAAAAACATATACATGTGAATGAAGACAAAAATTGTTGATGCTATTAGCAGTAAATAATAAAAAACTAATAATATTTTGAGCATGTTGTATGATTAATAAAAAACATTAGCAATAATCTATGGTAGCAATACTGTCAGCTACTGAAGAAGTTAATCTTCTGAACCAAACTAGTATAGTACCAAATGTGCAAAAGACAGGATTTGTGATCACAGTGATCAATGCCTTAATATTGATATCAAAGCCTCTACAGGCTCCTGATAACATTAGTTACTTTAAAAAATAGCCCCTTTACCAGGTTTATGAAAATTTCAAATTATCAAAACAGATGACAATGACAATTTCTCAAATGCTGCAATGAAAAAGTTCGATAGAACTCAAGAAGTTTCTAGATATATAAAATTAGAATAATGCTATTTGTACAACATGATTTACAGAATGATGATGTAGATTATATTAATTGACTTCTGATTGACTTCTTTTTCTCTCTCTCTCTTCCATATCATCATTCTTTAAACCATGATGTACAAATAGCATTACTCATAAAATTATCAAAATGAACGGGGAGAATCTTTCAGTTGGAAGATATAAATAAATATTTAACTGCACTTCTTATGCCTTATTCATAGAAATCTTGACGCACCTATCCAAAAAAATCCATGTTGTATATGGTGGTAATTTTTTCACTTCCGGCAGTGTAATAGGACGAACAGCATTCTTGACTGCAATACTAGATCCTAAAAGAATTGCCGATGAGCCATATCCATCTTCTTGAGAGCTACTGCTATCGTTATCCCCATTACTCGTACCAATACCATTATGCATATCAATTGCATCTTTCTGCCTCTTAGACAGTAAATCAACACTTTTGTCAGCACCAATAATCTTAAGATTGCTTCTTTCCATCGATAGTCTAAGAAGACTTTTTGTGACATCAGCCACTTTCTGTGTATTTTCTTCCATATGTTTCTGGACAAAAAAGAGGAACACAACTTAAGAGATTATTTGATAATCATGAACTGGCTAAATTAAAATTCAGTAAAGATCATGGGTATCACAAAGGGCACCTTTATGCTAACACAACGATCCAAAGCAACCTGTTTCTTAAAAGAATCAATAACTGCTAGTATTTCTTGGGTTGACAGAAGACTTTCTTGATGCCCGGTAGTCTGTCCAAGTGAGCAAGTCCAGCAAGAAGTTAAAATAACTCCTCTTTCTTCTTATATAAGTGAATTACAAATGAATTATAGGTAATAATATAGAGAGCAAAAGTTACGATGCCCACATGATTGAGGTAAAATATTAAAAATTGTTGTTACCCGCATTCAACACCGGATAGTAAGGAAACACACAACTACAAGGATTAGCAAGCAAATTGTATTTTATTAGTTGAAAGGAAACACACAACTACAAGGATTAGCAAGCAAATTGTATTTTATTAGTTGACACGTGCAGACTGATCTTCCAGAAACAGGTAAGGTCATTAACTCTAGCATTTATACCAATGCACAACTTAACGGCATTTTTTTTTTTTTTTTCAAACTTCAAAGCCGGACTAGTAAATCAATGTCGTTTATTATACATCTTGTTTTCCTTTCAGTTCATATCTATCCCGCAACTTTTTTGCCAAATGTAGTCTTACAACTTAGATTTGAAACTTAATGACACTGCTCGTTAAGAAATGAAGATTAACTATCATTAAATCATGCTTATCATTCTCCATAAAACGAAGTAGTTGACTTATCAATGCACCTACCAAATGTCACCACAAGTCTCTCATTTTGTATTCAACTAAGATCACAAATATTTCATTCTCGAATTCTCCTTAAAACAGTATAATTATATCTATAAAACATACATTAATTTAAGAAATTATACAATCTATACAATTACAGAAGACCATAAAAATAAAATCCAGCTCCCGAAACTACAGACAGTTGACAGAAAAGAGTTATATATAATTTACATATAGCAAGACCACAGACCTAAACTTCAGCAGAGTAAAATACAATGTACCTTCCTATTCAATCTCCAACCGTATCAAGCCCAGAGGATAAGAAAAAATTTCTACCATATGTAAAATTAATATTACGAAATGCACACAACAGATACAGCATAAATGCACTCAAGCGAATCGGAAGACGTACCGGAGGGTCGGATCCGGAGGCGGATGGGGAAGCTTTGGACTCCGACATTGCCGGTGCCGGAGGGATTGAGCTCAATCCGGCAATGGAGCTCTGAGTATAGATCCGACTCAAGGAAAGCCAGTCGGTCCGTATCGAAGAAAATTCGGATTTGGCGGGTTAGAATTGAATTGAAATTTTTAGAACCCTAGATTCAAGATGGTGATTTGGGGGACCTAAGAGAGCACTTTTGTGTTTTTGTTCATCCTTTGTTATGTACTTTGATTTTTATTTTTCTTCGTGACTGTTTTGATGGTGACAATTTATATTTGGATTACAGTATCCTCCTTGGGCCGGGTCTAAGATATTAGCTTCACCGAATTACAAGTAAATTCCCTCTCCCAAACCAACCCAACCCAACCCAACCCAAAATGATAGTCGAGGTCCTCAACAGACCTGAGGTGGTAATAGGCCGAGTCGAATTGCTCACGAGCGGCTCTTAATTTTTTGTTTGTTGTTTTTCAAAATAAAATAAATTCAAATATAAGCAAGTTTTCTTTTAAAAAACTAATTAACTAAGCCAAAAAGCTAGCTATTCATGGATTGAGTTGACGAGCGACTCGCCTATTAGCCATCGCTATCTCCGAAGTTAATCCTCGACCTTCAACATGGAATAGTTTAATCTCTAATATTCAACTATTATTCAATGAACAATATATAATTTCTGAAGTAACACCTCCTCTTAAAGCTAATTTTATTGTCCACATCAACACACTCGTCAAATATATCACAATTTCCATTGCCAAGCTCGATGTAGAGAAGTGTTGAATGGAAATTTATGGAACTTTTAGAGCTTCTGTTACCTTCTTTTGAATAAAGACATGTTTGATGTAGATTTTTTGAGAATAGATTTTGTGAAATATATATATATATAATAGGTGATTAAAAATTATGAAAAATTATGGATTAATGCACAAAATATTTTATTACGCACAACGTTTTAACCGAAAGCACTTCTTGCGCAATTCATGCGTTTCTACTATATTGACCAAAAATTGTTTCTTGATTTTTTATTTCAAATTGTTCTTTAGATTTTTTATCAATATGAGATGGTTGCAACACTGTATGTAAGACTCGTGATTCAAACAATCCAATCTTCCTTGTGTAAGGTGGAAGCCTCAAAAAAAGATTTTCCTTAACCCATGATTAAAAGATTTAATTACTATGCGTATCTTGGTAGTAGTTACTTTTGGTGATTTTATTTTTTTTATTTTTTTTGACTGACCTAGTCATTAAATTGATTTTTTCAAGCCTCGATTCCCTCTACATTATTAATTTCCAAATTCCAACAAACTTTGGCGATTATGCGTAGAAAATTTCAATCTTAGCTAGTTTACAATACAAACATTAAACCAAAAATAAGAAACATACATGCGCATGGTAAAAGCAATTGAAATTCTTCATAACTCACAATTATCCAACGGACCACGCGGGCATTTTATTTTTGATTTAGTTAAAAGTTAATTAAAAAATGGTCCTTAAACCTTTTTTTTTTTTTTTTGCGGTATTACTTATTAATAGAATTTTAAAATTTAATTCATAGGTTATTTATTGACTTGAAATTCGTTACTATCACTTGATGAAAATCATTACGTGTCCTATTGAATTCAGACGTGGCACATCCACATCTTTAAGTTCTACCACCTAATAAAAAAGCAATCATGTTACATTATTCTTAACATAATATTGCATGGCAACATATCGTTGAATCGTTTAAAATATAGTCAGCTTTTTCAATTAATCACATCTTGTCAATACCTATTATGTCACCTACTTTTTGACAAAATAACACTATTCTAATAAAAATTGCATCAAATCGTTTTTTAATATGACATTTGGCTTATTGAAAAAAATCAACTTTTAATATATTAAGATATTTAAAAAACTATCTAAAGCGGAAGATTTGATAACAAATTGCATTATTCAGGCTCAGTATCAATCCAACCAAATCAACACCCTTAAATAACGACCCCAAACCTACAACTCTTCCCATCTTTGATTGTTTTGGCTATGCCCACGAAAGGACATACAAAGATGGGGGTAATTAAAGCCACAATGGCAAGGAAGAAGAAGAAAGACGTAGACACAAACACAAAGAAGAGGCAGCCTTTTTTCTCTCTGAAGATTGAAAAATTACACACAGTATAAGACAAAGCAATGAAGACAGTAACATATAAAAAGCATTAGGTATATTGATGGGCCAAACCCAAAATCATTAAGTGGGCCAAGTGCATCAAAAGTGGGTTAACGCTAATAAGCCATTGATGAAGTAAGGAAATGGGCCATAAGCAGCTCTAATTAAATTAAGCTACTTCCAATAGGCCCAAATAGTTTTAGGATCGATTTGGATCGTTTCATTAAGGTATCAATTTTTAATTTATTCACTTTGTAAAAAATCACCTAAAAAATTATATCGATTTAACATCATCGTCCGAGAGATCTCTTGACAATAATTTGCCCACAAACCTCTATCTTGGTATTAAAGGATGTGCAAAAAAAAACATTATCACCCATTAGTGATAATTCCAAAAGGAGAACCGATAAATTTGGAAATTATTTACCTCCATCGATGGTTAGAAGATCATAATCTTACCACCTCTTGTGATACAATATCGTTAATGAATGTAATCTAACATCAATGTGCTTGGTGCATTCGTGAAAAAAAGATTTTTGCATAGATGTACAGAAAAGAGTTATTATCTAAATATGCTACCACATAATCAATCAAAACACAGAGCTCTTGAAGTAAATCCCTAAGTGACAAAGCTTCTTTAATTGCTTCAGTGATAGCAATATATTCTAATTCTATCGTAGATAGTCCAACTATTTGTTGTAATTGTGATTTTGAACTAACGCAAGAGTTGGACAAAGTAAACGCATAGGAGGAAATTGATTCCCTATTATCCCTATCCCCACGTAGTCTGCATCTACAAAACCTTACAGTTTCATTCCTTCTTTGCTAACACCAAACTTTAGATCTACATCACTACTCCCCTTCAAATACCTTAACAACCACTTTAAGGCTTCCCAATTTTAAGGACCTGAATTATACGTGAACCTACTAAAAATACTAACAACAAAGGCTCAATTCAATCTAGTGCAAACCATCAAATACGTAATAGATTCAATCATATTAGAATATAAAATCCTACTCATGTATTCTGTTTTTCTTTTTTCTTTTTCATTACATAGAGCTTGATCTTTAGATAATACAAAATAATTAACTAAAGGTAATTAAACAAGTTTACAATCGTGCATGCCCAATCTTTTCAACACTTTTGAAACATTAGGATACCGATGCAAAAGCAATGCAAAATTTGACATATCTCTTTCAATTTTCACACCAAGGATTCTCGTATCTTTATTTAGATCTTTCATGTTAAATTTGTCGTTCAACTTTATTTTTATCTTACTTATCCACTTAAGTAATGAACCAACTAAGAACATATATTCCACACAGAGTAACAAAAACACATAGTCATTTTAGCATCATCATGTTGAAAATATAGGCAATAATTAAACTTACTTCTTTGAACCCTATAGTGAGCAGATAAGAATAAAAAATTTTATACCACTGTCTAGGTGATGACTTTAAACCATATAAAGACATTTTAAGAAAACACATATAATCAGATTTTAATTGTTGTTTAAAATCTCTTGTTAATTCATAAAGATTTACTCATTAAGTTCACAATGTAAAAAAAGTCATTTTTACATCAAGTTGTTCAAGTTTCTGGTCAAAATGTGCAACTAATGCAAGCATGACTCTAATATTGGTGTACTTAATAACTGATGAAAAAATTTCATTATAATCAATACGTTTCTTCTGTGTGTATCCCTTAACCACTAACATAGCTTTAATCTTTATGGGTTCAATTACACTAGTACCCTTCGTAACATTAAAAACCCACTTACAATCGATGGTATATTTATTCTTAGGTCTAGGTACTAGTTTTGAAGCTTAATTCTTTTCTAAGCAACTAGTTTCCTCTCTTATTGCCTTAAACCACTATTCCAGTTGTTCACTCAAGTTTTTGGCTCTCTATCAGTTAACTTTTCATAACTAGCGTAAGTAAAAGCTAACTCGAATTTATACCCGAATCTTCTAGGCCCTGTTGTTTCTCTTATCTCTCTATTCGTAGCTAAATTATAATCTGCTAAGGGATTTTATTCATCAAGATGCTCTTCTATAACTACTTCCTCTCCATTCTCCACCTCAGGTCATTGACCTTGAGTCTCTACCTCATTAAGGATGGCAAGGACAAATGTACTAAGTTTTTCTAACTTAACCTTCAACTTATCTATCTTTTTTTCACTCACAAGTTCAAATTCAGTTTTAAGACAAGACATTTCAGTCTTGTTAAACGTGACATTTCTACTCACAATAATATTAACCCCATTTAGCTTCTATTTCATAACCTATAACCCTTGACACCATTAAGGTAACCTAGAAAAACACATTTTCTAGCTCTAGATTTGAGCTTTCCCTTACTTTGATGAGAAAATGCAGCATAGTCAAAAGTTTTAAGCACATAATAAACACTTAACTTACCAGACCATTTTTTATGAGAAGTATCACCATTCAATGCAATAAATTGAGTCAAATTAATCAAATGACAAGTAGTCATATAGCTTCGCCCAAAAATGACTTTAGGACGCCAGAACTTAACATCATATATCGCACTTTTTATTAGTATATTTCTATTCATCCTTTTTGCTACCCCATTTTTCTGGGGAGTGTAAAGAATCATCTTATGCTTTGTTATTTCATTGTCTTTGCCCATATTATTAAATTTAGTGTTACAAAACTCTAAGCTATTATCAGTCTCAAGAACTTAATGATTTTGCTAGTTTGATTATCAATTTTTATTTTTCAATTATTAAAATTAAAGAAAGTGTTAAGACTTATCCCTTAAAAGATAAACCCACGAATTTCTCATGTCATCATCAATAATAAACAGTACCTATTTTCATTCGAGGTGGGATTACTAGCAAGACCCCACAAGTCTGAACGTACATATTCAACCATGCATTTAGTTTTGTGAACACCAGTCGAAAAAGAAGTCTTATGATGCTTAACAAGTACATAGTGATCATTGATAAATCAGACATACAATCATTACTAAATACACATTTTTCATTAAGAAGTTTAAGCTTTTTATAGTCACGTGAGCAAGTCTACTTGCCATTTAGGTGTGTGATCAGCTTTGGAAGAAGAGGTAGAGGAATCTAAACCTCTTA